AATAATCAGTATCATCAGTATAATTAGTATAAACGTTATAAGTAGTATAAACGATATATCACGAATACAGTGTATAAAGTGTCCTATGTAAATGAAAGTATATAATAAAGGCTTCGAGCCCTCTGAAGAAAGAAGGCAGAGTTCGTGCTTGTAATGAAGTTTGACCCTTATAATTCCCTGGCCTTCGCTACCTTGTAAAACCTACAATCATAAACATACCACTCGCCAAATCTAACCACCTCTTATTAACTAAGCCGTTCGTAGGTTACATGACATATCCATTTGAGAAGTGACTAAACCACCGATGCCAGTTCGATGGTGTCATTTTGGTGGTGACTGTGAGATACAAAACATTAGCTACCCCTTCCCCCTCTCCTGATTCAAAAATTTTGTATTAGTGCCTGAAAACTCCTTCTCTTTATAACCATACTGTTGAAAAGATACCTCCCTATTAAAGCCAGAATGAATAAGGATCAGCTGAAAGAATTCCTGGATGGCTTAACTACATCTTTCACCCAAGTTGCAATCATCATCACTAATTCCAAGAAGGACCCTGAAGACTGAAGGGAGTTGACTTATGTAAAGATTGTCTCCTTCTACAGAAATGATAATGAAGATTCCATCGAGTGGTTGGAGTCATTCGAAAGGGCTGTAATGGCTAATAATTGGTCCAAGTATAGAATGTTGAAAATCACATCTAGATATCTTCAAGGTTTAGCAGCTGACTGGTATAAAGGAAAAAAGGAACAGCTAAAAGAGTGGAAGAATGACAATGATCAAGAAGGAAGTTTTTACTATGCTTTCCTAGAATTCTTCACTACGTCAGATAAACGCCACTATTGGCAGATAGAGTTGAATAGTCTCCAACTATGAAAGAATGAGAAGGTCAATGCATATGCAGCAAAATTTAAATATCTTGTTGCGAGAGTGAACCCCGAAGGAGAGTTGCCTGACTCCTATGTTATTAGGATGTTTTTAAGTGGGCTACATGGCAAAACCCTGACCTTTGTAGTCATTTCTGAACCTGATACTTTAGAGAAGGCCATTGTTAGCGCACAAAGCATTGAAGCTGGTGAATATTATAGCAAGCAGACTTAAGAAAAAGGGCATCAAAAGAAGTTGAAAGAAGGATTAGGCAATCTATTCCAGAAAATTAAGCAGATAGCCTTGAATTATGTTACCTTTAGTAAAAAATATTCTAGAGAGCCTCGTGTTGAGAGTAGATAGAAGAGTAATAGTGACCAGAAGAAGTGCTATGAAGTTAGAAAGGGGATAACATGCTATAACTGTGGTGAGGTTGCCTATATCTCTTGGCATTGTCTATAGAAAAAGACCTAAAGGATTAGTAGTAAACACAAGCCCAGCAACTATATTGAAAAAAGTGTGACCCATAGTAGTGAAGAAGGCTGAGAAGAGGATGAAGTATACATCTTGAATGAAAATTGATACCAGCCATACGAGGGAAACAGTAAGAAGGTAGTTCAGGGCTGACTGGAATCCAAGTGGGAAAATCATATAAGAAATTACGATATAGCAAATGCATCACTGTTAGTTAACTTAGAGAAAGCCTCTAATGAGATGGTAGAAGATAAGATCGTAACTACAAGAAGACCAAGGAGAAAGCATGACCCATTGGTAATTGATAAACTTGCTCCATATAATGTTGTAGAAGATATCATGAATGCTCCTGCTAATGTTACAATAGGCCAGATGTTTCAGTACCTGAACCAAAAGAGGAACCTGGCCCTAGCTTTGCGAAGACTTTTACCATCTGTTCAAGAGGCTGGTCATGTAAAATTCAAGGACAATAGGAAAATGATGTTAGCATGTTGTTATGTTAGGATTCATGGTAACCTAGTTGTGGTGGTATTAGACTCCAGAGCAGCCATCAGTATTATAACCAAGAAGCTGGTCGATAAGTTAGAACTTTGTATACAGTCGAAATCGTCCACTGTCATAGTTATAGCTATGGGTGCCAAAACAAGGTACTGGTTAAAATCAATAACATAAGAATAGTAGTTCAAGATGAAATAATTTCTAGCACCTTACAGGTCACAGAATCGTCAGATGAAACCTTACTATTAGGAACTGATTGGTTTCAAAAGGCCAAAGCATGACTCCACTTCAATGAATGATGGTTAATCTTGAAGCACCAAGGTCAGACTATAGAGGTGCCTATCTTCCATACTAGTACGGAAAGCTTGAGAGAACCCAGAAAGGAGATTGGGAAAAAGGTAGTAGTGACACATTCGATAAGTTTACATATGAAGATGAACAATTAGATGAGATTGATGGATATTATACTATAGAATCTTCCGATGACAAAATCAACCTCTATAGTAACCTGTAGAAGGATGAAGTTAGCCTGGCAATATATTTAATATTAGTCGAGGAAGTACCTACTCAGAAAAGGGAGAAAAACAAGCCTACCATGATGGAACAGTTAGAAAAATTTGTCCAAGCTAACACCTTGAGTAAAGAAGAGAAAGAAGAAGCCTGCACCTACTTTAAAAAGAAGAGCTGTTTGCTCACAATAGGTCTTAATAAATTAGGGAAAACTAGCCTCATACCCCACTATGTAGATACTGATAAAGCTAGACCTATCAAGCAGCATTTTTATAGGACATCCCTCAACAAGCAAGAATTCTTGTATAATGAGCTAGAGTTGTTGGAAAGACAAAGGTTGATCAAAAAATCTGAAAGTCCATAAGTGTCTCCTGTGATAATTGTTCCAAAGAAGGGTGGTAAGTTGTGCATGTGTATAGACTACCTGCAGCTAAATTTGGCTATGAAAAAAAATGCGTACCCACTTCTACACATAGATAACTTACTGAAAACATTTAGAGAGATGAACTGATTTACTAGTTTGAACTTAGGAGTGGTTACTGACAAGTACGAATGAACCTATGTTACTAAGAAAAGACAGTGTTTGTTACTAGAAAGAGCTTGTAGGAATTCAAGGTAATGCCATTCGGGTTGTGTAACACATCTGCGATGTTCCAGCTATTGATGGATAAGGTATTGGCGGAATATATAGGAAAGTTCGTAGCAGTATATATTGACAATATTAACATATACTCCAAAACATTCTAGAAACATTTGAAACACCTAAAGAAAGTGTTTATAAAATTGAATTTAGCTGGCTTGAAAATTAATCTAAAAAAATGTAGCTTTTTCAAGACCGATCTACAGTTCTTGGGCCACATCATTGGGCATAGTAGTATTTGACCTGACAAGATGAAGATTGACAAAGTAAAGCATTATCTAGTACCCAAGACCCCTCGACAACTAAGGGCTTTTATAGAACTAGCATTCTATTATCGTTAATTTATTAGAAGCTTTGCAACCATTGTGCAACCTTTGTATAGCCTATTAAAGAGAACATTAGATACGAATAGACTAGTGAACAACAAATTGACTTCGAAAAATTAAAAATATACCTAACCATGGCACCTTTCCTCCAGTATCCAAACTTTTTAAAGACATTTTATCTACATACGGATGCATCTGGTACAGGGTTAGGGGCAGTATTAGTACAAAAAGGAGAAGATGACAAGGATCATGCGATCTTGTACACTAGTAGAAAGCTGTTACAGACAGAGAAAAACTATTCAACAACGGAGCAGAAGTGTCTTGCAATGCTGTGGGCTGTTAAGTATTATCGCCATTACTTTGGCTTCAGGCCATTTGTGGTAATAACCAACCATGTGGCATTAAAATGGCTTCATACATCGAAACTAAATGGATGATAGGCTAGATGGATTATACAATTGCAGCCCTACAATTATATTATAGAACATCGGGCTGGTAAAAAGCATAGTGATGCAGATACGCTTTTATGGCAATATGACTCTCCAGAAGTCAGTAGTAATAGAATAGAAGTAGATGTTAGTGCACAGAAATGTAGCAGATGGTTACTCTCTTTAGTGGAATGTAACATTAAGGAAGGCCTATATAAGATGAAATTAGGTGGATACATCAGATGGAGTGTTGAAAATGTAGAACTAATTGCACATCATAATGATGATGAATGGGATGATAGTAAATGGATTGATGAAGAAACAAAGACCTAGTGGGATTTGGATAAAGAATTTAAAGTATATACAGTAATAGAGGAGGATGGTAAGGACAATGACCTAAAATTGGAAGAATATATAGAGTTAAGGGAAGATGTAACAGAAAACATAATCACCATTAATGAAAATAGACTAGGAATCCAAGACAGTAACCCGATGAAGTTCCAAAAATTGATGATAGAGTACCATATAGTAATACGCTTTACTCACCTGATTAGGTCCTATGGTAAAGTATACTATATATATTCCCACCTAACCGAATTCACTATTATGACCTAGAAGTGCTTAATCGACATAAGACCATCCACCTGGCACAACATTGTGATTAGTGTATAACCCTTAAAATTTGCCAATATTGCAGAATTGGATCATTAGTGAAGTGTGACAAGTGTTGGCTTGAAGGGAATACTTGTGAAATACTGGATCAGTTAGGATATACTGAGCCACTGGATGAGGAAGCAGTTAATGCTGATAGAGATATACAGATAAGGAGGAATGGCGGACCTATAATCAAAACCTACTCAAGATCAATAATGGGCCCTCGACATTCAACTAGAACCCAAAATTGAAAATTAATAAACTTAGCCATCATCAAAAAGAAAACCAACTCAAGAAATACATTAGTTAAAGTCTTAGATGTTTAATAGAAAATCAAATCTGACAATAAATAATATTCAGACCAGGTTATCAGTGTTCTGGCATAGTAAAGAAACAATGAATCTAATACTGTATAACAAGGTCAAGCAATATATGTATAATCAATATTTATCCCCAACACAAATCAAGTGCAAAAGAATAGAATAATTAGACTAAATAGAACCCTAGAACTAAAAGACAGAATTCTTTATAAGCTGAACATACATTATCCAGATCGATTAATAAGGACAGTACAGAAACCAGAAGTTGACACCATCCTGCTGATGACACATAACTATCTAATGGGAGGCTACTTCAGAGCAGAAGCAATGTTTGAAAAAATTAGAGGTGTATATTATTGGCCTAAAATGTTTAATAATATAAAAGAATATGTTAGAGCTTGCAATGAATGTCAAAGAAGGGGCAAGAATAAAACAAAAAGTCTATTAAACCCTATACTGGTATCAGCCCTGTTTTACCAGATTGGAATTAACATTGTCAGCCCCTTACTGATTACCCCAAGGTCCAATTATTATATCGTTGTGGCCACAGATTACATGACCAAGTGGCCTGAAGCCAGGGCAATCCAGTTTACGAATGCTCAAGAAGTATCTTATTTCATCTTCGATGAAATTATCTGCTGGCATGGGTACAGAAAAGTTGCTATCTGACTGTAGCATGCATTTCCTCAACTATGTTGTGAATCAGTTATTAGAATAGTTCTGCATTAAGCATCTGTTATTCACCCCATACCATTCACAGACAAATGAGTTGGTAGAACGGTTCAACAAGACATTGTGTGAGGCCATTGCAAGTACTATAGAAATGGTCAACAAATAGGATTTAGTCATACCAGCAATCCTGTTTGCATATCGAATAACAAGGCATTCGACAACAAGAATCATGCCATTTTTCTTGGTATATGGACATGAAGCATGGTTACCTATTGAACCTAGTGGGACAAGAGAATTAGCCAATGAAATGATAGTACAAAGAACAATAGAACTTATTAAGAATTTACCTAGTATTCGTAACTCTGCTGTCATATGAGTACAACAAACACAAATTAAAATGAAGGAATGATATGACAAACAAATCCAATCAAGCCTCAAATTTGAAATCAGTAATAAGGTCTTGGTGTATCGTGCATCGATGAAATATAACAAAAGCGTAAAGTTCGAACCAAAATGGAAAGGACCATATTATGTACATGAGGTGCTTCCCAAAAACATATTTAAATTAAGAACTATAACTGAAAACGTTATAGCATCGCCTATAAATATTAAATTGCTAAAAAAGTACTATGATCGATGAAGTACTTAAAGAAGAAAATAGACAAACGAGTAGTTAGTAAAATAAAAATAAAAATAAAAAAAAAAAAAAACTTTAGAAAAATATTTTAGAAAAAAAAAGGAAAAAGGATGAAAAGTATAAAAAGAAGGAAAAAAGCATAGAAGAACCTGTTGATTAAATATAATTAACTTTACTATGCTAAGTTTAAACGAAATTATCATTGATATCACAGCCCATGTGCCCAACAATGTCAATATTACCTCACTGCCATTTAACAAATCACATGATCTCATGACCGCAGTGACCTTAACCTACCCATTGTTGTCTTGAACAATGTAATTAAGAAATAAGATCAAAACTCTAGTATATGCATACTACATCAGCATGCTCTTTGCTAATGCAACTAGTAATCAAAGAACACAAATGCACAGGACATTAACATCACATTATTACCTTATGCCTATAAAAATCTATGATATTTTTGTTTCTTGTGGGGTTCATTAAATTTATAGGACTTCAAGAGTGACCTTTCAAGACTTTAGGCAGATGACAAGCGAAGAAGCCTGGCAGCTTGTCTGATGAAGTTCGTGGGACTTACTTTAAGTCAAGAAGAAATGTGAACAGTAGGATGGTAAGGCCAGAAGCTTGTTTAAGCAGGTGATCAATGTGGCACAGTAATGAATAAACAGCTATATTGATCACTTACTTTAAATGGGTTTTTTGGCAATATACACTGTATTCACAGTATACTATGTATCCTATATATTAGGTAAATAATGGGTATTAGTGGGATCAAGAATATTCTTAAAATAATCAGTATCATCAGTATAATTAGTATAAATGTTATAAGTAGCATAAACGATATATTACAAATACAGTGTATAAAGTGTTCTATGTAAATGAAAGTATATAATAAAGGCTTCGAGCTCTCTGAAAAAAGAAGGCAGAGTTCATGCTTGTAATGAATTTTGACCTTTATAATTCACTGGCCTTTGCTATCTTATAAAACCTATGATTATAAATATAGCACTCACCAAATCTAACTGCCTCTTATCGACTAAGCCATTCGTAGATTACATGACATATCCATTTGAGAAGCAACCGAAACGCTGATGCCGGTTCGATGATATTACCAGAAAATTGCCAAGACTTTTATATAGGTGGAATAATAATCTGAAGAAAATCAGGATACTTTTCAAAACAAATTTATAGATATATTTAAAGATTGTAACAAAGGAGTAAAGATCTTTTAATTGGCTAATGTAAATCAATTACCTGGTGTTGTGTGGCAAATCGGTGAGTCTGTTGCTAATTCCTTCCAATCCTCATATAATCTATAGTGGCTAAGTCAAAATAGACAGGTTAGATTTAACTGGGTGGTTTATCTATAGATAAGTACTATTCTTTTCTTCTAAGTCCTTCCTTTAACCTATTCTTTATTAAACCTTGTCTTTTCTTGTTCTCTCTTTACTTCTTTAACCTGGGGTTATGAAATGTCGAATCAGGTTGGAGTCCTTATCTTGTGTAAATAGCTTGGTTAAGTAATTTACAGCAATGATCAAAATGCAGTTTGGTGATGTAATAATAGGTGCATGATAGTTGGATATGATGGTTTAACAATTGTATTTAGGTTTGGTTATAGTTTACTTTTAATATAGGTCTGATACTTTAGTTTTATTTAAGCAAATGTATTTACTTGGGGGTAGAGATAGGAAAATCGAGGTTTTTTTGAAACTACTATGCAGACTTTTACTTATTAGGTTTCGTGTTTATATATATAAATCATCTACTTCATATGTATAAAGTTGGGCTTCTATCATTTTTAATTAATGCTTTAAGATTAGTTTAAATATTAGTTTTTGTTGTTTGTGTTTTTTTTCACTTTTTCTCTGCATATCAGTGAATTGATAATCCTGATCAAATTTGCAGATCATTTGGCCAGATCTAAAACAAAACAACTTTAAATATGGTCAAATGATATGCAAGTTTGACCAGAATTATGAACGATGGATTTTATTAATCAGGTGATGCAGATTGGGATGATTTCTGATTGGTAATTCAAACCTGGATTATAAAGCTGATCAGAATTCTGCCAGCTGGCCAGAATTATAAAAATTGCAGTGCACAATCTTAAAAAATTCCTGTGCAGTGTTCTATTTTTACTTGAAGATATTGCTTGTTACTTGTCTCCTAGGTGAAAGGCCCTTTATTTATAATAAACTGTCTTGTCTATTTATATTATGAACTTGTCTAGTATATTGAACATATCTAATTATTATATATATTGCATATATCACACTTATGCAATATATCAGATACATATATTAGATATATCTGACATATCTAACATTTCTGATATTCGGAATTTATGTCATGTGATATCAGTCACATTTTTGGACCTCATATTGGATAACTTATTTATGTACTTTAAAGTACTTTTTAATAGAATAATGTTTTAATAACAAAAAATTGTTACCAAAACTTATAATTTATTGGATAATCTTAAATTATACTAAAATAAAGATAAATAAAAACATTTTTGTTCAAGACTGTCTTATTAGTAATTATTGAATTTGAATATGAATAATGTTAACCTGTAGTTTTTTTTTTAACTACAGTAATAACAAAAGCTGCTCAATTATAGTATAATAATTATAACTTGATAGGTTTTATACAAAGTCTACACAAGACTTAACAAAATACAGAATGATTTGAGATTTTAAAGCAGAGGTAACAATAGATAGTATATGAAGATACTAAATATTGTATTCAGTTTATTCACAATTGAGATGTATAAAAACACTTAACTTTCTTGAAGGGTTAGAAAATAGTACTTTTATAGATATTTTATATGTATAAATTATTACAACAAAGACTATTCTATTACTAATAAATGCTATTTATAGTAATAAGTACTAATAGATATAATAGATATAATATATATAATAAATATAGTAGATATAATAGAAATAATAGATGTAATAGAACTAATAGATCTAGTAGAAATAATAGATCTAATAGAAATGATAAAAATGATAGAAATGCTAGATTTCTGATACAGTAATTTAAGGCAAACAGAATCAAGTTACATGCATTACTAGAAAAATACCAAGAACTTCTTTCAGAATTAAAAACTTATTTTCCAATCACAAGTAAACAATCATTATAATATCTCTTATATTTTAGATACAAACTTGCTGATTACTACATCTTTGCTGTAATCCCAAATTCATATTTTCAACTTCTATCACCAAAACAACTATTACCTACTACATATCAGGAACTTAATTACAAAGTTAGAGGTTTTTTTTAATTTAACTCATCTACATCCAAAATACCTTTAGCTAAGGCAATTGCATAACTAAAAGAGTATTATAGATTTAAACTATTTCCCAGTGATTACTTTATTACCAAAGTACTTTTGTCTAATATTCTTGATCTTAATTACACTAAGTTACAGTGCACCTATCCAATAACTGATAATACAATAGCAAAAGAATTTTTTGAGAAAGTCTTTCAATAATGTCATATTCAATTTTTAATATCTGATCACATAATGAAACAAACATTACTGACAAATCTGATCTACTAACAGACATCTAAGAACTTACTAAACTCAACATTATACTACCTATTACAA